TGAAAATCAAGGAATTATTACGTTATCCACAATTTAAATAAAGTTATATTACATGAAAGGAATGAATTTAATACTAAATGTCTTATTGTTCTTTAGACTGGGTTTAATTTATAACCATATCGTTACTTCGACTTTGCAGCTTTATTGGCGGAGTTAGGCATCAGGTTTCCCTCCTTGCATTTTTTTCAAACATGAAAAACCATATGCGGCCTTAACAGAAATTTTCCTCCCAGGAAACTTATTCAAAGTCGCTAGCGTAATCCGAACCCACAATGTGAGGGTAAATGATTTCAGTTAGGGGTCCGGTAGTCACACAAATCATCACGGTGACACCTCGTGAAACATTCAGCATGTTTTGACAATTATTCGCCTATTTTTACTTAGTCGAAAAAAGAGAAATAGATGTGCCAAAGACATGTAGTTTAGTAACTTTCCATTTTCTAACGGTTTTCTCATTTGATGGTGAAACAAAGTGTTTAAATTGAAGAGAACATCTTTATTTGATTTGATATGGCAAAGGTTCGCAAAAGCCGATGCCAACCAGACCGAGCTATTATATAGTATACTTTTATTTTCAAATAGTCGAGCTTTCACTTCAGAGTGGGTCTCAGATGTACCGTCCACTTTTAAAATACATCGAGCCAATTAAGGAAGGGGTTATTCGAGCAAATGAAGTTTAACTGTATGATTAGTTTTTCATACAACACCACTTTTCGCCCAAGAGTAATCTGCGGGATGTCCTGAGTGGTGCACTGCGCGTTAATCAGATGGTAAAAAATCAAGCCACGTGACTTTTTCAATATGTCAAACCAAAACGATAAAACACATGTTAAAATTAAGATTATATCTGTGCATGTTCGGGATTTTAAAAATGATTGAAATTGTTTTCCTTTAAAACTGTTTAAATAGTTCGGCGTATCTCAAAATCAGCAATGTTGTAACTAAAGTCAGCCGCGGGGCATTGTGGGGCAAGTGGTTCAGCATGGCTGCGTGAGAAGCAGTCCTGTATGTTATTTATATAAACACATATGTAACTGATATTGGTTTTCGCTTTGCATGATAAATACGAATTTGCATGCCTATTAAATATTTTGAAAAGCTTTCCAGAAATTGAATGACCGTTGGCGCTGTTTTTGCACCGTCAGCTAAAGACAGCGTTTCTCGACTTAAAAGACACTTCGCGACGTACTTGTCATTTTTCATTTCATTGTGACAAGATCGAATAAATGATATGAATATGAAATAATTGAGAGCTTGTTACTTCACACACATTCGAACTTACATAAATTCTATAATGTATAAATATGTTTCCTACAGTTTCTTATATACATGTTTATTTTAATAGTTAAGGACAGGTTTCTTGAGATTAGACAGTATTTTATTATGAACAAATAAACCCGTTTAGTATATTATCCCTTTTATTGGCATGATACCTCTGTCTTAAATATATTTTTTTGTTTTTATATAAGAAAAGGAAAACCTACTTAAACTGACATTATTACTTTTTAGCAATTATCAAATGTTGTTATTACATATATTACTACATGTATAATGAAAATAACAACCGTACACATTTCTTATTACATACAATGGGTTTTGAAGGTATTAAAATCGACCTTCAAAATTGACCAATAACAACAAAACATAAAATAAGTCTGGTAAATGTACAGACATGTAAAAAAAACCATAAATTATCTTGAAAAATTCTGTATCCGCTCCTTAGTGAATATCTCGAATAGTATGTGTTGGATATAGTTTCGTACTGACCGCACCCATATCAAATTAAATGAATGAAAAAAACTTGTTTCTAATGATTGATTATGAAATAAATTGTTCTCAAAACACCTCATTATCGGAGTAGACGAGACGAAACCTTTATGATCATACAAAATAAAATGCCATAAAAATAAAACTTTTTATAACCTCCCTTTATACTACATCAGAGAACGATTTTTCAGCTTTTTAACCATAACTTTCATAGCAAATTTCATAAAGATTCTAATATATTGAGTAACTACCATATTTGAAAATTTTTACAACGTATTTTTTTCTTTTATTTTTATTTTTTACGATAAAAATACTACTATTCCATTTCATGTGTTTTTCTTTATCTCTTTGTGGTTGCGTTATTTTATAGTGAAATATGAGGAAAAATGGTATAAATAAATACAGAGTAAAAATTTTTCCTTTCGAAAATGAAAATTGTCTGCCCTTCAGAAACGCAATTTCATTGCAGTATATTGTAAATGAAATTTCAAAATTATATACAAACTTGTGAAATACTACTCCACGGTATCATATTTTATGGGTGTCTTTTTTGTCCTTCAAAAATAACGACGCGCACGCAGCATTAACTTCAAATGTGGCTCAAAAATATTTTCCTTTATTCTTTATGAATGCTATAATTTAAAAGGCAGTCGTTCGGATATTTTAGTTTTAAAAAAGTTAATATAATTTACCATTGACTTTTAAGCTACTTATACTCATATGATAATTTTTGTTTTGATGCGTATATATGTGATACATATGTTGGGTTTTGCCATTTTGGACGTACTTTAAGGATTTTTTCCTCTGTTTTAATTTGCAGCTGTGAGTCTGTAAACGAGTTATGGATGATTTATTTCTCTTTTTTTTGTGTACGAGTCCAATAGAATTAGTATTGTTCTCACCAATGTATAATCTCATTTTACTCATTTGCGACAATTTGAGAAAACTTGTTACTTCAAGTACACAAAAAGGAATTGATATGATTGTTGTTACCCTGAAATGGGACTAGACGGAGTAGGATATGCATCTAATATAGACAGTTTGAACTCTGAAATGAAAAACGAGGCATAGAGTCGTCAACCTCGCGATGTCATGGCACAGTTGGTACATCGGGTGGTTAAAGAATGCTCTATTCAAATCTACATAACTTAGTCATTATTTATATGGGCATGAAATCAAAATCTTAAACGTTTGCATAAGCACCTGCTGTCACGTGTTACAGCTGACTAACCATGCATGGACTTTTGCTACTGATAAATCTAGGAAGTTATAACTATACATTTATAATGTAATGCTTAAAGAATACGCATGAAATAAAAACAAATTCCAATTTCAGAGCACTAGCTCAGTAATTTCTGGACACCTAAGAATAAAAAATAGCCAACCCCTTTCTTTCATTTTTACCAACTGTAAAGTAATAAACTTTCATAAGTCATGTCGGGTCTTTAAAAAGACATTAATTGAAATGCAGAAGTCAAAATACTTTCTTTCAGTTTTGAACACTTATTTTACTTCAAGGATTCTTTTCAATGCGTATGCACACGAATATTCCAAAATTAATACCACTTTGTCCGTTTACCTTAGGCAAACACAAAGAAATCTTATAGATCTATCGCTGAATTTGAAAAACGATCATTCATATTGATCAACGATAAATAATAGATGACCAAAACCCTCATATTACACCGATTGTTATTATCTGAAACACAAATATCTCTCAGAAATTGTCTCTTTTATCATTCATGTTTATTAACCGTCAGGGCTATTCATGCATTTAAACACCGGTATCTACTTCCCAATTCTTAAAAGAAAAATCAAAAATGTTGAATTGAAATTATAGACACGTAATAAAAGAAGGAAGAAAAACGTGGTAAACATATAATAGATGCTGGGTGCATGATTACAGAATAAAACTCAAATAAACACGAAACTGGTAAAAAAATGTCTATAATTATATGGCATACGATATAGCCTAAGGTAAAACCATTTCGGCGTACAAAAAGAATTGAAATAATTTGAGGATCCTTATTTTAAAGATTTTACAATGTTGTTTCCAACTGCTTTATCGTTTTATGAATCTCGTAAAATATCGTTTCTCGCGTTACACATATCAAGTTATGGGCGAGGGGTTTCGATTGATAATATAAATGTAAAGCCCAAGTAGAAAATGCAGGTGAAATTTTCCTATTGGTACTTTTGGGAATGTATGGGATGAGTTCTCGAAGCTTTGATTATAACAGACGTGTTAGTAAAAAGGGTTATATTCATACAGCCAGAATATACATGTATACTGGGATAATTATATTCCCTCAGAACGTTTTAGGAACAATGCAGACGACAACCCTCCCCAACGATATCTTTCATTATTTTTACGTACTGAATTCAACATTTTTACGAAGATTTATTCTTAATCTCATGTTTCCTTTGGAGAGAGACAGATATCGAAATCTCATTTTCTAGGTTTAACGAGTTGAAAACAAAAACTTGTTTTTTTTAAAAAAAAACAATGTATGGAAAAGGTTTTCATGACATGATATAACATTATATGTGACTGGTGATAATAGGAGGTAAAACACTAAATTAGGTTTATAAATAAGCGCTCGTTTGTTACAAATTAATCAATCATTTCACGACTACATTGTTTCAATTTTTTTTTTGGTTCAGTAGTAGTAAATAAAGCAGTCTAATAAATAACACAATACATACAATATATGATCAATGAATAATGGCATAATGTTTGTTTTACTCCATACGTATTCAGTTTTATAAATACATTATTATCTAACTTGATCTAAAGGGGAACGCTTAATTTTGTTAACACATACATATGTATGATTTATATCTAAAAAATGTTGTTGTTTCTTTTTAGCTTCTAAAGATGCACATGTATTTTAAATTCTACCAAGCACCCGGGTATAATCACGTCACATGTATAAGCAGACGACAATTTGTATTAATGATCAATAATGGAGTGACTGAATATGCTTGTTTGTAACTGGACTCCCAAAACACAGTTCCGAATATTTTTAATATCATATCTTATAAACAATTTTTTACAACATGCATATATACATGTATATATATATATAAACTTACGGCGAGATTTGTATACTTGTATTTACAGGGGAAATGCTTGAAAAACACGATTTAGAATATGCATGTACAAAAAAACTGTAACAGAAAGGTGACAACTTGCAGACGAACAAAATAAATAAACATAAAACAAGACTTACCCCATGTCCATCTGCAGTACATGTTGTAATTATGGCAAAAACTGCTGCAGCAAAAGCTGGCAGGTACATCTTCATGTTGTTTTTTCAAGTTTTCTAAAATTGCCGTCAGTTTTTATAGTTCCATTGAACTTTTGTTAAGAATAAACGTCCTAAAATCTTCACAGGTGAGACATACGCTTCCGTGTCGAAAGGCGTGGTCCTTTGATGTTTTACTATGAATAAGTCTTACACATTAGTATTATGAAACGAAATATCCAAGTCACTGATTAAAATGAAACGCTCTTGGAGAAAAAAAAAACTAAATAAGTTCCAAAATGAACACACCAGTGTGGGTCAACACACCAAACAACTTTTTTACCCCTCCCCAGTAGTGGAATGTCAACCGACGTTAAAAACCACTACACGCAGACTGGTCTATTTTTAAAGCTCGAATACTGAAAAACCATTAAAATCATGGTTGAATGCATGGTTAGGCCCGTCTCAATGAATTAAAATAGTAATAGTGTCAACCGAAGTGTGTTTATACACCTTGTTTAACAAGTATATTGCAAGTGGGACAGTGGTTAATCGATTGCAATTATACATTCTTTCCCCGTGTTTCCGAAGTCTAAAATAACCTGTAGATCGATCTAAGCCTGCTGGAGTTGTCCAGTCAATTTATGTGATTATTATTGTTGTTTTTTTTTGTTTGTTTTTATTTTGTAGAAAATACTTAGCGAGATTTTGTATTTTTTCTCTCATTAATTTGAGTTATAATTATTTTTTCAGATAAAGTTAAACTTTATCATTGCCAGGTCAATTAGTTAAATATTAGCCAGATCTATTGTTACATGCTCTATCCCATTTTTATTAGATTGTCATAAATTTAAGGTGTTTCATCCACGAATAGTAAATAACAGGTCGATTCGCTACTTCTGCAACTTGTATTAGGTATAATAAGATAGTGGCCATTGATCGTAATCCTTGTGTCCGCATCAAGCTATTGATGATGAATTTTACTACTTTTTTGAATGTATGTATTTTAATGACATTTGACTAAAAATTAAAAAAAAAAACTCTTCTTTCCAGTTTTTATATTCATCCCAATATTTTTAAACATGACAGATTAATGATAAGTTGTGATAAAACAATACTACTTAAACTATCTCTATTTATTATATAATACTTCTCATTCTCCGTTTCTTTTTCTTGTTTGTTTCATTGTAAATTAATATAAATCTCTTATTGTTGTTTATTTTACCTTGTCATAATTGTATTCTTTTACACTGCGGATGATCACGTGACCAAAATCGTACAATGGGCTCATAAAATGGCGGCCTAAACGCTCGGTAAAAGCAGTGAAATTGAGGAAAGCATACAGTTAACGTTAAATATATATGTAAAACTAGGCCGCACGGAACCCCTGTATAAAAGCACGTACTGTTCTGTTATTGGTTACTTTGTAGCTCTCTCGGTTTAGGCTTGAAAGTCGAAAAAGTTGTTTTGGGTCATGAGTACAATGGCCGAACAGGTACTAAAATACGTTGTTTTCAGTAGAAAAAAACGCATTTTGAGCAAAATTAGCAATGACATCTTGTGCACAAGTGGAAGTTTGCCTGTCAAGAACAATTTCCATCCTTTGTAACGTTGCATAACGAAGTTGTGCATCTTTTTAAAAACGAGTACAATGGCCGAACCAAATTCAATGCGTACAATGGCCGAACGATTTTATTGCCTGTCCTATTTCGTCAAATTTTTCATTGAATTATGCTTGTTTCTCGCTTCCTGTCTTTGAAATCATACATATGATATTTGAATGTGAACAGTAGGAAGAAGTATTAAATTAAATGAATTAGTTTGCTTGCTATAAATTCTCATTTTAATAGTATTTTGCTTTGATAACACACGTGTACATCAGCGTAAAACTATTTAAAATAAAAAAATAAATAAAATACAAACATGTACATTATATAGAATTTATTTCACCAGCAAAATATATGTTTCAATTACATAAATAAAATTGTCAATTATTTTGGAAATAAAGTCAAGTTTTTGTTGTTGTTGTTGTTGTTGCTTTATTTTTGTATTTCATACGCAGAAAAAGTGGTCGCTTTAAATGAAAAGCATGTTTACGTATATCTTTGGAATATATACATATAATGTATATATTAGATTTTTAAATTGTGCTTATATTATCGTTAAATACTTCATCCATTACACACCCATTGTACGATTTTGGTAACGTGATCATCCGCAGTGTTTTATATGTGATATAAGTTGATTTTCTTTTATGAAGGTTTTTTTCTGTTTAATTGTAACCAGTTGCATATTACATTACATACATTGGTTTAATAAAACCGAAACTAAAAACCGGTGAGTTGTCCATACTATTTGTTGCTTCTTTAGGAGCATTAAATCTAATATTTTCCCAGATGATTTAAAAAGAGCTCGAGTTATACCTATTTTCGGTGTTCCATAAGGCTCAATATTAGGACCTTTATTATTTCTAATATACATAAATGACATAGCTTTCATAGGTAATGATATAAAAATTGATTTATACGCAGATGATTCTACACTTTATGAGTCCGGAGAAAATATATCAAAAGTAGAAATAAAACTTCAAGATCATTTAAATAACATTGACAAATGGTGCAAAATAAATAATATGGCCTTAAATCCAGATAAATCAAAATGTATAGTAATAGGAACAAGACAAAAAGTAAATATTATGAGAAAATTAATTCTTAAGATAAATGAAATAGCTCTTGAAAATGTAACTGATCAAAAAGTCTTGGGTATTTGCATAGATAACAACTTAAAATGGCACTTGCAAATTGACAATGTTTGTAAAAAACTTAACGGAAAAATTGCCTTATTGAAAAAAATATCGTATTTTTTGCACTTTGATATGAAATTATTGTTTTACAATGCATCTATATTGCCCATTATGGACTATTGTTGTATTATATGGGGTAAAGGAAACACAAACTACATAAATAATGTTTGTAAGTTACAAAAACGAATTGCTAAAATCATTTTACAGCAACCTCAAAGATCTCCGTCAATAAATCTATTCGAAACTCTTAATTGGTTACCGTTCCTTGACAGATGTAAATACCACACGGCAGTGCTTGTTTTTAAAACTTTAAATAACATGGCACCGACTTATATGACAGAACGGATGACTTTATCCGACAACAAAATATATAACTTAAGATCTAGGTCACGAAAAGATATTGTATTATGGACAAGACCTAAAACAAATTATATTAAACACATTTTCTTATTATGGCATGAACATTTGGAACAATATACCTTTAAATATTCGTAATGTTAATAACCTTAAATGTTTTAAAGAAAAATACAAAGCATATCTTGATGTTCATATGAGTGAATGAATGAGTGAATGAATGAATGAATGAATGAATACATATATGAACGAACGAACGAATGATGCAATATACGTATATGTTTAAACAAATTGTTGAGTGTCTGTCGAAAGTATATGAGTTGTATTATTCTAAAAATTACATATTATACATTCATTTTTCTACCTATGCATATCCTGTTGTTGTTGTTGTTGTTGTTGTTGTTGTTTTCTATTTCAGAAGGCCACATTGGAAATAAGATATATATGATTGTTATTGTATGTTCTTAATGTGTAACCTTCTTTAAATAAAGATATTATTATTATTATTATTATTATTATGAAACAAGGGGGTCATTGGCACCAAAGCGCTCACCTGAGGACAGACTTTTATTTGTGTAGAAGCAGTGAACGTTAGTGTTTATTACAAGATGAACGATGTTTGTCACTAGACCATACTTCATGTGAAATATATTTTTGGTTACTATATACATTGTCCTAATTTCATAGATGAACATCAATATATAGGCCATCTGATTTCAATTCTGCACATCGACAATATGTCATAGTTGTACGTTAAAAAGCATGAAAGTAATTCGCTAGTTTAAAATCAAAGTTCAATTTTAAATCTAAAACTGTACACAATTTGTATTAGGAAAATCTATGATCCCCGGGGCAGGGCAAAATTTTGACTCAAGGGCTATAATTCGGACAAACTAGGAAGAAGTCAACTACAAAATTTTTCACCTAAAGCCTTTGTCATTTCACAGGAAGCAAAACATATGATCCGTCTGGACAGAGGCATAATTTGAGCTGAACATGGGTGTAACATCTTAAAGTATTGTGCAAGCGTTCAGCATTTGTGTCACGTGTGTGCACTTTTTTGTAATACATATTATCAAACAAATGCAAAATGATTTTTATAAAGTAATGTGTTCCTTCGTTTTTATTTATCGCAGGTTTTTATGTCTTAAAAGGTCATTATTACTTTGTACTGAGAACTACGAAATCGGATAAAGAAAGCATTTATTTAGGAGGAAATAAGCACAAATTTATTCGAGATCGGCAGAATTGTGCCCCCTGATTAGGCAAAAAAGAATATTTTTTAGACTTGACATGTGTCGCGAAAAATTGCAAACCCTTGAAACTTTATGAGCGTAGTTAGTATGCAGCCGAGTACTATTAGTATTTTGACTTTTGATGCAATTTATTTTAATATCTGCATGACCAATGTACACATGTACACATGTTTAGTGTTTTTAATTTCAGTACTTACGCAAAACATGTAAAATGACAAATACTTTTTAAAGCTGCATGTCTTGTTATACTTACATTTGATTTCTAATTATGTTTTGAAAAATAAGTTTAAACTGATGCCAATTAAAATGTAGTTTATACAATCGTAGGAAATTAGATTTAAAAGACAATGATATATAAAATCTAAAAAATCATATCCGTTTGTTGCCAAGAGATATCTAGTAAAACTCATCGGGTTTACGTCACCATATTTGTAATATTTTAACCATGTATAAGCTACATCGTTATATAAATTGTTATTTAAATTGCACAGAAAAATACATCTACAGTGACAGTTGACATACAGAGAAAAACATGTACACATGCTGTTTGATATTTATTTGATAATTTACACATTTTCTCTCAGGATGTTAGTTAGTAGATATCTAACTCATCAAGTCAGAATCAGCTTTAATCCCGATCTCTCTCGGGAAAGTTCACACTTACCGTGATAAGTCCATGCACAGTGTAACCCAGGACACAGTCGTCCCTCTTTGCTTCGCAAAGCCCATCTACTCACTGATGTGACTCAAACTTCTAGCAGTGGTCCCCCTTTACTTCGCTACATCAAGATTTTTTCTTCAAAATTTTCAAAAATTTAATACAGAAAATGTATCTGAATGTTAACTTTCGCTAAAAGATAGCTTCTATTAAATAAATTTGACTGTGAGGAGTTTGGTGAGGACCAGCAACAATTAGCCTGGGTTACCTGCCCTTACCATTTCATTATCGGGCCTGGCACACGCTGGAAATGGCTGCCTCCTGTGCATTCCTTATCTTATAGGTAAAAACATATTTTGTGGACCGT